TATTTACTACTCCAGCTCCAGTTTTGCCCATTTTCTTTCCTGTACGTTTGCTTAGACAAAGACACATCATGTTCCAAGTTTTGAAACTATATTTTTTCTACCAAATTGGAAGTAAATTAGCCAAAAATCTATTGGCTTTGGAAAATCCAAGATGAATTTCCAAGACCCCAGACAACCTGCCGGTTTATATCATAAAAATAGGGAGGAAAGCAGTGATTTTGTATACTATGCTAGCTGCAATTTAGCATGCAGATAGATGGTGAGTGTTTGTTTACTTCTAGGTCTCCCTGCAGTGAAGGTAAGTGGCCAGGGTGCGGGGCAAGGGAGAGCAGAGAGGGTGCGTTGGGGATGGATGGGGAGCACAGAGGAGTACGAGGAGGAATGGTCCAGGTGGCTGATGCAGTTACGGGTATTTGTAGATCCCGTGGTCCCTGAAAGCCTGGCAGGTCTCCAGAGATGCAGGGCAGCCTTATATCCCCCAAAAGATAGTGGAGCTCTAAACTCGAGCCCTGTGTATTTGAATGGACACGTTTGTGGTTTATCAATGTAATTCTTTTCTTAATTAGACAGGACAGTCACTGTCTGTCATCCTTGTGAAATTTTTCCTATGTGACTTTCACTTCTGAATAACTGACTTGCTAACCTTAGCAGAGGTTTTGATTCTCTGAACTGCAGTTTCCTTTTGATTAAGTGTCATTTTCTGCTCTGCTCTTTAATGCATATTAATGAGTGCAAAGCAGTGCTTGACTTGAGTAATTTGCAGTTGGGATCTAAAAATCCCTGGAAGGAGGGCCTGGGGATGTCCTGCCTGGGGAAATAGTGGGAGATTACAGACTCTGCTACAGTTTGGTGAATTCCAAAGGCAAATGCATTTTCAATTAATTTGTATTTTTATTAGTCACAGAACAGTCATTGTTGCCATCGTTATTTAGCCATATTCCCTTTAGTTTCAGTTTATCTTTCCCAGAAGAGGAGGGAAGAGGTAAGAGCTCAGCCTTTTTTCCAGAACGCAAAGTGCTTTCCACGACAGATGCTCAGGCCCGCGTTTAGTCCTGAGTTGCACAGCGCGTGTGCAGCTGCAGGAGGGTAGTGCAGGGCAGGCACTGCTTGTCCATAACTCTTGTATAGACAGGAGTCCCGGCATGGGCTACATACTGCATAGACTACAGAACCGCGACTACTAGTAGTTTTGAGCTCTTAGTTTATGAAAGCAGCTCCTGCTCCTCCATTTCCCAAAACTTGGGAAACTGGTAACTGAAAGGCTTAATTCTGCTTTCCTATACCCTGGGGTAATATCCAGAGGTGTCCCAGGAATTTCTGAAGTCTTTCTAGTCTAACCTTTGTAGAAGAGAAAGCACAAATTGGCTCCAAAGAATATGGCCTTTCTGTTTTAGTCATCTAGAGGTATTCTCGAGGAAATTGCAGCAGCTTTAATGCTCTCTCTTGTCATCGTAGACTTGGAGGTCGTCCAACAGTCATGGTCTTGGCATGACGGCCTGGCACAAGCGTCAAAGAGTCAGAGGATAAGAATGGGACCGGTCGAGTAATGGGCACGGGCAGAGCCATGCTGCTCTCCAGCTGCCTCTCGGACCTTCGCACCGCCTGCTCGGCTGTGCACGGTGCTGGGGTTCAGCTGATGGCTGACAGCCATCTCCTTTTCCTGGTGGGGCTTTTTGGGATGTTCAGAGCAATATCAGGAAAAAAGCATTTGGCAATTCATACTGAGCTTTTCAAGTCCAGAGCGTTTGGCAAAAAAATAACAAATCGGCCCTCGTAATTCTCCTAGAAGATTGTTGTTATGCCTAGTCACAGATGGAGAAATGGAAGCAGAGAGGTTAAATGTCTCGCTCGAAGCAGTGAGGAAGTGTGTGGTGGAGACAGTCAGGAGCCCCACGTATTTTTTAATGAATCTTTTATAACTGCGCGTATATTATTAGGCAGATGGCTTGAACTGTGGATTTCTCTAGGAACTCTGCCTTGCAGTCTAAATGTGTTTTCTTCTCAAAGTCTTAAACTGAAATAAAATCAGAAAACATAGTTTGGTTCAGGACGTGAGAATGTGTTCACTAATTAAAAGACTACGCAGGATATAGAATATATAAAAATATGTCATTCTTTTACAGTTCAGGGTTACACTAATTCTTTCCTAATATTTCTGACCAAAAAATAATTAATATGTTTCTGGAGACTAAAGAAAAAGAGAAACGGCAGCGTAATGCAGTTATGTCTCCTTACGTCACAGGCCGAGATTAAAATGAAAAAAGAAATATTCAGCCATGTTTTTGAAGGTTAATTTTCTTCCTTTTTGCACTCCAGCAGGATTAGGGAGGATTCACTCATGGGGCTGTATAGACCTGATGTATGGCCCGTTATTTGGCAGTGTTCAGGATCTGTGTTTTATCTTAATAAAAAAGTCACTGAAGAACATAACGCAGGAAGGGGCTTTTCCTTTCTCTGCATTGTGGTTGTGCCGTAGCCATTAGTGGCCTACGGAGGCGAATTAACGTATTTTATGATAAAACGTACTGCATGAATCCCCCTGCATACAAAAGGGCCAGCAGCAGGCACAGTGATCTGCAAGCAGTGTCGGGGTTTGACCACTGATTTCACGTACTGGGAGCCAGCCCTCAGGCATCTCCTCTGGTTAGCCTGTAGTCTGTCCCAGGGGGTCTTCGTTTTCTCAGGGGAAGTCTTCAATCTGAACATGTTTTCTTTTCCAACAGACCACCATGCACTGGAAGCTAAAGTTCACTTACAAAAATTGTTCTTCTGTCTGATCAGTTCAGCTACTGCTTGTAAAACTTGCCTATCTGTTAATTTTCTTAGAAGGTTTAAATTCCTCTAAATGCCCATCACTGCACCCTGCTGTGTACAAGACAGCAGCAGCATTTCCCCCAGGATCCTGGGGAACGGGCTGCATTTTAAGTGTGCGTGAACAATTGAGATCCAGTGTTAGTCGCTCGGTTACCAGCAGGTTTAAGAAATCCAGAAATAGGTATGAGCATGCGTGCAATCGTATAACTTACTTGCACAAAGCAAAATCACAGTCTTTTTTCGTATGGCAGTCAGGCTCTGTCTGTATTCCTCCTGGGCTTATGTACGGCCTGTGCATCGTATTGGTGCAGCTGAGCATGCAAATGCTCGCAATTTCTCCATCTTTAGTTGTGCATTTCTCATACACATTTTTTTAAATTTCTGGATATAGTATCTAATATCCAGACAAGATATGGGTGTGTGCATGCAACTGCAATATATATTAAAAGGAGAGTAACATTAATTTTGAAATTTTTATGTATTCCTTTTTACAGTAGCAGATCAGTTGTTGTCTTTCTGGTTTTGGCACTTATTTTCTTGGTTGTCTTAGCTTCCTTGAGTTGCTGAGCCTGTCTCACCTTTGTGTCTGATGTAGAATCTAAATTAGATAAAAAAAAAAATCAAGACAAGATTTCAAATACAGTTTCCTCTCTGTACAGGCAGTTTAAACTGCTTTGATATAATTTTGCTTCTTTAATCCTTCCCCTTCAATCTGTTGTTGTATACATTATATATATGAAATCTGGGACGGGAAATCTTGCCTAATGTAAGTTAAGACATGACAAATGAACCTGACATTTTTCCAAGGAGGGAACCAAAGAACATACTGTATTTATAGCAGTAGAAATGCATTTTGCTGCTTATAGGAGAAAAATATGCCTATGAGAACTTTAATACTGGGATATGATAAGAGAATGCAGATCAGATTTCTTTCAAGTGAGGATACTGGGTTCAAAGGAGCAAAACAGATTCTCTTGAACGCTCGAGGTGCGACTTCACCCAGAAGCGAACTGGGGCCCCTGGAAGCTCAGATACCAGGAAAAAGTGCGTGGCACAGTGTGGAGACGTTCTCCCTGGCCCTGTCACGAAGGCCGGAGGCTCTGGTGTCAGCGGAGTAAAGAAGAGAGTGATGAAGGAGCTTCTGAAAGTTACATTTGGGGCTTCTCTCCTTTATACTTTAAACAATTTCTTCCATGTTAATATTAAGACTTTCTGTTTACAGGATAAGAGTTCATCAGTTTAAGTTCTCAAACACAGATGTGCAAACATACTCAGAAAAATTGATTCAAGCCAACCAGTTCTGCAAGGCAACTACTGGCTATTGCAAACTTCTCCAATGGGGCAGGATGGCCAGGGGAGACAAGCGCAGGAGATTCAAGTGCCCAGTTTGTTTCACCTGCGTGAAAAGGGTGAAAAGACTTGTTAAAATTTTCCTGCTTTATGATGATTTTCCTGCTATGTTAAGCAGCGCTGAGCACAGTGAGAAGCGTTGCGATGACATCCCGTTGAGGTGCTCTGTAGAAGTGCGAATTTCACAGTTTTTTCATACCAGGATGTTGGTTCCAGTCTGAATTCTTAAATTTTTATCCCTTAGGAATGCATTGATGACACCCTTTTTAAACCAGTTTTGGCTAAGCGTTGAAAGAGTTTTTTATCAGGGCAACCCTTTGTGTCGAGGGGAAGATAACCACAAAGCCTCTTTGCCTGTGTGTAAGACCGTACTTTTCCATCTTGCCTCCGCACAGAAAGGCTGACTCTACATTTTTGGACTGTACAGCTGTACATCAGGACCAGCTTATGGTGCTGAACCAATCCTTTAGTTAGCAGAGAGAGTAAACGGTGGAGCAATCTGCTGACAAGTAGCTACTATGGTCATATTAACTCTTTCATTGTAGTTGGTTTCTAATTCAAATTTTATTTCCTCGACAGCGTTAGACCTATGCTTGCTCACTTGGCTCTGGGAGACGTCCCTCTGGTTCAGGGCTGTGCCTTTGTCCTTCCTTGTCAAGTTGGGGAAAGGATGCTTTGTTTTGCTCTAATAAAGAATTCACCTGGTTTCCTCTCTGCATCCTAATTGCTCTCCAGAGAGCACTAAAGTGTGCTTAAGCATATTGTAACTGTTTACTCACAACGTCTGCTGTATGTGCAGTAACTCCAAATGTTCGATCTCTGCCCTGTCGCTCCAGGCTGGCATGATTCGCACAGACAAGGACGAGTTCTTCATTGAACCTCTGGAGAAAGGGGCCCAGGAGGAGGAGGAAGGAGGAGGCAGGACACACGTGGTCTATCGCAGAGCAGCTGCCAAGAAGCAGTTTCCTATGGAGAGCACAGATATCCAGTATAAAGGTAAGGCGGGGATGTTAATGCCAGCTGATGTGTAAAGTGTAGCCAAAGGCCTGTAGCCAATGCGTTCTGCTATCTCTAGCTTCTGTGTCCTTGAGAATGAAAATCTCTTCTTCTCCCTCTGTGTATGGAAAGGTAGGGGAGAAGCTGGACATTCTGACTGGGATAAACAAGCATTGCAGCAGCCAAAGCCCTCTCCAGGATGCCAAAACTGTCCTGCTTTAAATGTACAGATAATGTGTTTCCTTGGCTCCAGAGGGAGCCAGCATAAGGTGGTGTGTCCAGCTGGGCACCCACGTCGGGAAGAGGGCTGTGGATGGAGCAGCAACGTGGAGGTGCCTGGGCACGCCGGGGACAGGCAGCGGTGCTGGCTTTGCAACGGCTGTGCTGGAAGGCTGCAGCCGGAGCACCAAGGCTGACGTGGTACACGGGCTTTTCGTTGTCCGTATTCTTCACTGTGGTGAAGTTCATCCCACCTGGAAAATAACTGTTCAAATGTGGACACCAACCTCCTCTTGACTTAGTTGTGTGTTTGAGTGTTGCATTTAACCTAATATGTTGTAGACAGTGATGGAACAACAGGAGCTAAACGTAAACAGCCTTTCTGTGTAGTATTCTCTGTTTTCGTGCTAACCTTCGTGGGACCTTTTCAGCTGCACGAATAAGGGATGCAGACTTGGTAAGCGGATGTTCTGGCAGCTGACATTAACACTGGGATTAACGGGGTGGTTTGAGAGGAAACCAAAAACAGTTGCACTTTGACGCCATGTGCGTGTACCAAACTGCAGACTCATTTGCCACTAATAGTTTGAAGCATTATCTCACAGTGGTATGATATGTTATTAAGTATAATACGGTGTTTTAGGTCGTCCTCTGTAGAAATCTTCGCAGCAATTCCCATCTCTCTGATGTGTCACTATCGCTTTCAAAAGACAAAGAGAATATTACGGTACCTGTTGTAAAAACTGCAGATAGCAATCCCAGAAACCGGTTGGAAGAACACATAGTCACAGAGATTAGGCAGTGAAATTACGGCCACGTTACTAACGCAAATTTCACAATGCTTAAGTAGGAGCGGGGAGGGAAAAGGAGGCAAGCAGTAGCGTTCACCGATCTTTTGTCCAGTTGGGCCATCGGTTACGACCCACGGCTTATGAGAGTGCGGCAGCGTAATGTTGGGTTTTTTTGGCTGGTTTCGTACACGTCCTGGGGCAGCGCTGGAAGGAGGCAGGGGTCTGAAGGACGCAAGACGAACCTCCCCGTTTCCAGAACGATAAGAAGGAAGGTGCTCTCTTAGTAGATGTTTATAAAATTATTGCAGTGTTGGAAAATATCAGCCAGTCACTGTGTTTCCTTTTAAACAAAAGAGACTTAATTTTATTCACACCTTATGGCAGTATTTTTGTTTCTGGTTGGTAAATATTCCTCAGGAGTAGGAGTCTGGTACACAGAAAAGCATAAATTTTAGATCGGCTCCAGTTATCGGCGTGCGGTACCTGCGGGAGGAAGGCTCTGACAGCGGCGCCTGCAAACGTCTCCGCGAAACGCAAGGCCCT